TATGAAATTGTACTTCACGTTGAAGGATCAGGCTAGATTCAAGAAAACTAATATATATATATATATATATATATATATATATATATATATATATATATATATATATATATATATATATATGTATGTATATATATATTAGTTGACTTAGACAATGGTTTTGGGTAGGGCCATGAAGAAAAAACCAATGCATTTCAAATCGACTGACATCCATTAGAAGATCGTCTCAAAATTTCAATATCCAAATTGGATTGTTTGGTTCTTGGATGACCATACAAATCCATTCTCAAATCAAAACATCCAATCCAATTGCTATCTAGTTGGATATCTAATTATTGTTCGATTGGATATATCATCAAAACTATAATCCAATTATTGATAAATATGTATTCATTTATGATCCAACTATTATGTAGCTATTATCCACTAATAATCTAATTATCATCCAATTGGATATCCAAATATGAATTGTTGTATTTTTGTTATAACTTTGTCGTTTTAAACTTTTAATACTATTGATTGTCATCATATTTTTGTTATAACTTTGTCGTTTTAAACTTTTAATACTATTGATTGTCATCATATTTTGGTTTGTACATTGTACTGAATCTTAGAAATTTATATTTTAGAGGGCATGTTCTTTTAAAACTATCTACTAGGGATGTTCATTTTTTCTGAGTATCCAAAACGAAACCGAAACCCGGACCGGACCGGACCGACCCGAATTAGAATTGAATAAGTTATTTGGGTCAGTTCTCAGGTATTTTATTTTAGCCCAATTCGGTTCTCGGGTTTTTCGGTCTGAGTTACCCGAATAAAGATTTAATCAGGCCAATAGGACCGACCCATAATTTAATAGCCACTTGAACGTACGATACTACCCCCAATACCGATCACAGTTTTAAAAAAAACCCTAGAGTCGTCGCCCTAGCTATTCCATTGATTCATTCGGTTCCTACTGTGATCGAACTAGGTTATTCGTCGCTTCCTAAAGTGATCGAACACAGTAGTTCAATTTCCTTGCTTCATCGTCGCTTTTCTACCAAAAAAAACTTGTCCTACTCCTCGCTTCCTATTTTGATCGAACACCAAAAAGAAAAAAACTCGAACTCCATACTGCTTTCAAGAAACTGAACTCCATTCTTTATCTCCAAGGAATCATTCAAGGATGGAAAATTGGGTTCCAAGCCAAGAAACTCAAGTAGCATCGTATCTTAATCTACTACTCGAATGTTATTCTTTTAATATGTTATTATGTTATCTTTCAGTGTGTTATTATGTGATGTTACTCATTGAAATTTAAATGTTTTATGTTGATGTATAAACGTTCATTGCTATTATATCATATTAAATATAATATGTTATGTTAAAATTGGTAATCTATTTCAATGTATTATGTGATTGTAAATCATTATCTTATTGTAATTTAGATTAAAGAATCTATTTCAATGTTAGAGAACATATATTGCTATTTTATTATATTAAAATCATTTTGTTATTTTGTTCTAGATTGATGATGAAGATGTTTTGGCTGTATATTGAATGAGATACACCTTAAACAAGGTGTATTGAAGCTGTTTTTCTCTGATTCAACATGTTTGCAAATTTTTATGTCAACTTTGAACTGTCATAACTTCTTCATTATTTATCTAATTTGCCTAATTTGTTTTCCAGCATGTAGTTCATAATTTAACATACTATTTACACTATTTTTATGATATTTTTGGTTGAATTTTCAATGAGATACAAGCCCTTAAATAGGGGGTATTGAAGTTGTTTTTTCTAAATCAACATGTTTGCAGATTTTTATGCCAACTTTGACCTGTCATAGGTTTTTCATTATTAATCCGATTTGCCTAATTTTTTTCCAACATGCAATTCACAATTTAACATACTGTTTACACTATTTTTATGCTATTTTTTGTTGTATTTTCAATGAGATACATGCCCTTAAACAAAGGGTATTAAATTTGTGTTTTTTTTAATTAACACTTACTTAATTGTAATAGATCCTACATATGTTCGAGATTTTGTGTTCACCGTAGCAAAAGATTTAAAATTTGTAGAGCTATGGTTGGATTTCTCGAGAAATTCAAGGTAAAAACCGACATAATATCGATGTCAACAAAACCTATGACACATTGTTTTTTTGCAGAAATATGCGATGTGTACAAACAAATTAGGGATTGAGTGCCAACTCCCCAATTTTGCTTCAATGGGAAAGATAAGATTGAGAAATACGAAAAGTATTGGGGTGACCTTGAAAAATTAAATGACTTTTTGTACTTTGCTATCGTATTTGATCCACTGTTAAAGTTTGAGTTTCTTCAACAAGCCGTTGAGAAGTTGATTAAGTTGAAAAATACCAGAGAACCTACCATATTCAACTCGAAATTCACTTTGAAGGCTAAGGCCTTAATACATGATATTGAAAAAAGATTTGAGAATTTTTTTAATTGCTACAAAGAAAAGTTCGACAATACCGAGTCTTCTCAAAGTCAAACACGTGCTCCTGGAGATGTAGTTATGCTTAATGATTCACCCATTGGTGATTTAATAGTACAAGCGGATTACCTATCGGCATAATGAAGTTGACATGAATGGCAAAATGTATAACTTTTTTTATTTGTATAATTTTTATAATTATATTTTAACACTTTGTTTATGTTGATAAATATTTTGGGACCACAAATTTCTACTATGACGTCCGAGGCGTCTATTAGTACAAGTGGGCGGATATTAGATCTATGCCGAACAAATTTTGCTAGCTAATATATTAGATGCTTTGATTTGCAACCAAGATTGGGTAAAGAACTTAAGAAAGCCAATTATGGACAATATTGATGAAGTTTTGAAAGATGATGAAATCGCGAAAGAGTTGGAAAATGTGATAAACAATGGAGGCAGAAAGGGAAAACAACCAATCAATATTCCCGAATAGTTACTTTGTATTTGGTCATTGTTATTTTGGAAAAAACATAAGATTCATATTTTAATTTGGATGTTTAATGTTTAATGTTTAAATATGAATTATGAATGTTTAATGTTTAATGTTTAAAATTAAATGACTTTTTGTACTTTGCTATCGTATTTGATCCACTGTTAAAGTTTGAGTTTCTTCAACAAGCCGTTGAGAAGTTGATTAAGTTGAAAAATACCAGAGAACCTACCATATTCAACTCGAAATTCACTTTGAAGGCTAAGGCCTTAATACATGATATTGAAAAAAGATTTGAGAATTTTTTTAATTGCTACAAAGAAAAGTTCGACAATACCGAGTCTTCTCAAAGTCAAACACGTGCTCCTGGAGATGTAGTTATGCTTAATGATGAGAATCACCTCATGGGTGATTTAATAGTACAAGCGGATTACCTATCGGCATCAACAAAATGAAGTTGACATGATACCTAAACAAACGGTCAGTTAAATACAAAAAAAAATTTGATATTCTATTTTGGTGGAAACATAATGCATTTCGTTACCCTATTCTAGCTTGAATGGCAAAATGTATAACTTTTTTTATTTGTATAATTTTTATAATTATATTTTAACACTTTGTTTATGTTGATAAATATTTTGGGACCACAAATTTCTACTATGACGTCCGAGGCGTCTATTAGTACAAGTGGGCGGATATTAGATCTATGCCGAACAAATTTTGCTAGCTAATATATTAGATGCTTTGATTTGCAACCAAGATTGGGTAAAGAACTTAAGAAAGCCAATTATGGACAATATTGATGAAGTTTTGAAAGATGATGAAATCGCGAAAGAGTTGGAAAATGTGATAAACAATGGAGGCAGAAAGGGAAAACAACCAATCAATATTCCCGAATAGTTACTTTGTATTTGGTCATTGTTATTTTGGAAAAAACATAAGATTCATATTTTAATTTGGATGTTTAATGTTTAATGTTTAAATATGAATTATGAATTTTTGGAATATGAGTTATCAATATTTAATATTTTTTTTCTTGAACTACATATATAATTTTTTTTATTTGGGTTATTCAGGTCATTTCAGTTTATTTAGGTTATTCGAGTTATTTTGGTTTATTTGGGTTATTAAGTTCAAAAACATAGTGTACATATTTATTTGGGCTATTTCGGTCCATTCGGCTTAATAACCAAACCGCAACTCGTATTACCCGAACCGAATCGGTCCCGTATTAGTATAATCGGTCCGGGTTTCGGTTCCAACTTTTCATCAAATTCGGGTTTCGGGTCTGGTCTTGAGTCGGTTCCGACCCGAAACACATCCCTACTATGTATGATATTTTGGTCGGTTGTAATTAGATGTAAAATTGCATAAAACTTGGATAACATAACTCATGCTTGAATATAAACAACCAATAGATAGCAACATTCTACTAATCGGTTCCATTGAATGGATCCAATTTGAGATGTTGGAATGATAAAGCCAATTCAATTTAATGTTTAATTGGATCGGTTCGGTTGATCAAGGTTAATAGGACAGGATCCTCGGTTGATCAAGGTTAATTGGACAGGATCGATTGGCCTTATACAATATTTAAAGAATGATTGGAAACACTCAAATATCAAAACTATGAATACTTTAGTTTGGAGAATAAAGAATGATTGGAAAACAAGAATGATTGGCATTATACAATATTTAAAGAAGGATTGGAAAACATTAAACTATCAAACTATGAATACTTTAGTGTTATGAATAGATCAATTTTTATACAAATTAATAGGTTGATTTTGACAAAAACAATTTGTAGAAAATAACTGTGTAATTTGATCACTAACGTAACTAAAAAGAAATTTGATTTTGAAGGAAGAAAGGATTCTTGTTCTTGCTGGTATACACAAGAGGAAGTTGGGCAAATATGTTGAAGAACTTTTGATCCGTACAGAAACAATTTGTGGTCTGGGAAATCATTACGACTCGATCCATGATCATCTAATCTAAAGAAATAAATCTACCACATGTACACGGCCTCACATGGCGCCATGTTCTTGTTTGAAGCACATGATCCTCACGTAAAGCTGAATTCATCCTTTCCTAAATCCATAGAAGATTTTGTAGATATTGGAATCGAAGCGTACCTTGATGAGAAATCACGAAAATATAGATCATTATCTTCCGAATGAGATTGACCTTCATCAAAATTGAGTGAATAACTCGTCGCATCGTACTGGAATTTCGAGGGTTTAGATCGTTTCTTCTTAAACCGGCGGATAAACGTCTTCCACTTTGGACCAGCAACTAGTTCAGACCACTCCCTAATCTTCTTAAACGGCATCAATCCCTGACACCACCACCGACGACCGTCGTCCTTACCGTCCTCCGTGATCAGTTCCCACCAATTCGATCTTAATTCAACCGGCGGAAGATTCGATTGCATGCATGGCATCCAGTAACAACATCCTCTCCTGGACAAAGCGGCTTCATGCAGTGGTTCTTCTTCGATGTCGGACTGTTCCAAGAAGATGTCTGAAACAGGGATCAATTGTGACGCCATTAGTGATTTGGGAAATCAGCAGGAAAAATAATGCGGGTTTCGTGGATTGTTGATCGCAAAACCCTAATTCTTCTTCGCTGCCGTTTCTGCCTCTCACTCGATAATTCTCGTTACCTCTCAGAGAATATATACAAAGCCTAGTGGGGTTCGATCGGAACACGAGGGATTTAGTTGCCAATGAGTATGCGTTTGACACGTGTTAGTTGCCAATGTAAAAAACTAACACGTGATATTTTTTTATGATTTTTGTTATTTGTAACAAATCAAATTCAATTCAAATTTTAAAAATCATATCATAATAACATTATTATGTTTATTTTGTTTAACAAATTAATTCATAATTACTTACGATCGATAATATCTTGGTTTTTTTTATATTTATTATTTTTTTATGTATATAAAATTTTTAAATATAAAGACCGTGGTTTCCACGGGTTATAACCTAGTATATTAATATGACAATTTTAATATATCATAAATAAATAAATAAATAAATAGTTTCCTTTGATAATAATATAAACGAAGGGAATATAATTGTAATCAAATCAATGTTTTAAAAACCGGTTTGAATCCGCCGGTCGAACCGGTTAGACCGGAACCGGGGATGGGAGCGGTTCAACTATCACCGATTTTAAGTTGATTTCTGAACCGGATTGAGCCGGCCAATTTTTAGAAAAACCCGGTCGAACCAGTCAAAATAAACCGGTTAAACCAAATAAAAATACATGGAAAACAACCATTTGCATAATAAATTTTGTTAATTTTTTTCGAATCTATTTTTTTTAAATAAAAACATATGGTAAATGTTATAAAGTTTTTTGATGTTTTTGTATTCATCTAAAACTATATTTTGTTTCAGTATTATACTTTATTTTTTTGACGTATATAGATTGATGTAAAACACTGAAACTTATGGTTATGTGTTATTTTAATGTATTTGGATTGATCTACAACTTATTTTTATATGTATTTTTAAGGTTTGGACTTGTAAACGTCAAATTCATGATTTATATATGTATGTATGTATAGAAAAATCGGAAAAAAGATGAAAATTATAGAAACCGGTTAACCCGACGGTCGAACCGGTTAAACCAGGAACCAGTCACCATACCGGTTCAACTAAAAAACCGGTTTTATAAAAAATTGAATCAAATTCATATTATTTATGAGTTCTTTTATCATCGGCTGAACCGGAAGGGTAAGGGTGGCGGTTTTATATATAAACCTTCCAAATTAATATATTTTAAAAAGAGAAATTAAATTGCCACCTATTTTTATGCCTACAAATATTCCTAATCACTAATATTATGACACGTGTCATCATTCCATCATTAAATTTAATTTTATTTGATATGTTCATAATATACTTTTAATGAGATAGTTAAAATAATATGGAATAATTACACTTGTTATATATTTAATGGGTAGAAATATTTTTAGACATAAAAATTACACTTCTAAAAAGTGTGTTATTCTTGTAATAATATTATGAGTAATGGCATTAATTTAACGATATACCGTTATCAAATGACTTGGTTAACCCACGATGTTGTGACAAAGCCAAGACTCTCTAAAGGAAGTCCATTCTACATCTAAGGTCGAAGATGTTGAGCTGCGAAAGCCGATGGGATAATGACATGATAGGGTAAGATACTTTTTGAAATGTACACATTTAGTCCTTATTCTTTTTTTTTGTAAAATAAACCCTTATACTTTATTAATATGTACACATTAGGTCCTTTTCACCGGATTCTACAGGTTTTGCTGACGTGGAAGGGTTTATTTTACAAAAAAAAAAAGAATAGGGACTAAATGTGTACATTTCAAAAAGTATCTTACCCTATTAAGTCATTTTCCTTTTCTTTTATTTTGTTGAAATGAAATACCCAGGTGGCATCCACATATCTACAACGAGATTTTTCCAACTTTTATTCATCATGAAAAAGAGGGAGAACCCCGATCTCCGACGACTCCTTTGTGTGTTCCTACACATCACTGGTAGCAAGGAGGAATGATGGCAAAAACAACAAGGTCGAAAGGGGAGGCAGGAGGAAGTAGAGACGGTAGTTGGCGGTGAGGAGCTGCTCTGGTAGCCCCCTCGTCGATTCTTTCTTCTTTTTCTGGCAACATATCTCAAAGATGGAGGCAAAGAGAGACAGATCGGAGAAACACAACAGGTAAAGGGTGTTTGGCTGTTGCTGTTCGACTGGAAGGAAGAGAGACGAGAAAGGGAAGGGTCGCCGCCCTTTTCTTGTTGCTGGAGGATCACCCACCTCCGGTGACTAAGCTAATTAATTGCTATTTAGTGCCACTTGTGCTTCCACATCAGCAAAACCTGTAGAATCCGGTGAAAATGACCTAATGTGTACATATTAATAAAGTATAAGGGTTTATTTTACAAAAAAAAAAGAATAAGGACTAAATGTGTACAATTCAAAAAGTATCTTACCCTATCAAGTCATTTTCCCTAAAAGAAAATTTGTATATGACCGGTATACCGGGTATAGCTGGTCACAAGGATTGCATTGTTACAAAAAATAAAGTATAAGAGTTTATTTAACAAAAAAAAAATAAGGACTAAATGTGTACATTTCAAAAAGTATCTTACTCTATTAAGTCATTATCCCAAAGCCGATATTTCATATGACTTTGTTGCCGTTATAGCAATGGGGTCTCTAGTCCACTAGTATTTCTACATCAAAACTTTTGTCATTACAAATAAATCTTCGTATGCCTTTTGTACACCAAGTCCAAGTTGTACACCAAGTCCAAGTTAAGGATAGAAGAGAATACTGGAAGTGAAGACAACCGGAAAAAAAGAGAAATTATGTTGTTCCTAGGAATATTTTTCAAAGTAATAAAGGAAAGAGAATAGAAGAATAAATGTAACAATTGGTAAAAATAGGTCAAGGTTCATCGGTCAACACCGCGGACCCTACTGTATTAAGACCTATTGTATTTTGAATAATATTTTTATAAGCAATTTTAGCTGTATTATCCTTAATTGCTTGCGGATTACTTCGTTTTTGAACTCAAACTTAGGCCTAATATTTGAATTTATAATAATAATATTTTTAACATAAAGCAAAATCAAATGCATGCAAACTGTCAAATCAAAACTATTTAGATACGGAACCATAAACACCATTTCACGGAGTTATGTGTATCAAAATCTAATTTCATTTGAGTTTTTGAAATCACCACTCCAACACAATCAATAAACACGTATGAAATGTTTTTAAGAAATCGAGTTTGTTAGTTAGTGAATTAAGACGACGATAGTAATAGAAATCTTTATAAGAAAACTTACATGTGCATGATTATATATTAAGCTTCCAATTCATTATATATGTCATAAAAACATGATGCTGAGTATATATTATGTATAATTAATAATATGCAAGTACTTATATGTTATGGATTTTTTAAAATACCCAAATACATGTATATTATGCATTTTTATTCCCAAATACTTGCACATGTGTGTATCTAAGAGAAGATCATGCAAGTAACACTAAATCCCTTCCATATCTATTTCTCACTCTCACACTTTTTTATATCTCTATTTCTCTATTTTTCTATCACTAACACTTACAAAATACAAACACATGCATGAAACAATTGTCAGATGTGGGAAGTACATATGTATGTGTGTGTGTCCCACAAATTATCTGCCATGCTTTTAAGGTTAACCATGCACTATTCTCTACATCTCTTATATTTTCTATATCTATCTCTCCAAAATCTTTCAAGTACAATGTGCATGTGTGTATATAGATTTATATCTTCCAAATATATTACACATGTACTTCAAGAATCCAAACAAAGTCAGCCAAATATTACCCACTATCACTCAATCTCGATCTCTATATCTCTAAAACATATCTATCTCTACCTCTCACTCTCAAACACATGCACATGCACAATCTAGTAGTACACTCAGCAATCCAATTGAAGATCATAATCATACAATAAAAAATCAATCCATATCATTCCCTATCTCTCACCCTCTTCCTCACTATCGTTCATACCCTCCTTCACACTCAAACTCTCTCTAGCTCTCATTCTCTACATCTCTCTTGTTCTTACCTCACAGAAAAAGAAAAAGGGTAGGCATCCCTCTCGTCGGCAGCTCCAGCCCCACTCATTCCTTCTTTACTTCATCGAGCACAACCCTAAATACCCCTGTTTGATGCTGCCTTCCTTTCATCGATCCTGCTGCCCCTCGACGCCTAAACAGCCCCCCGATGAGGGCTTTATCACCAAGAAAAGCAAGCCAGAGAGTACCGACTGCCACCTTTTGTCACCACCAATTCTATCCCTCCTCAGCCCTCTTTTGTCGTTGACAACTCCCCCCCCCCCCCCCCACCAGCACATCCTTATTGCTGTTGCACTATCCTAGATCGGAAACAACCCCGATAGAGGAGTTTGGAACAAGAAAGAGCTCGCCGGAACCACCACCTGCCACTTCCTTTCGTAATCAACTCCAACCGCTTCAACCACTCTCTCGACCCTCCTACTTCGTCATGACAATCCCATGTATCTCCTCCCTCTTTCCCTTTTTCTTTTCATCATAAAACATCCCTGTAGGGTCAATCACCGCCAGCCATACGCCACCGGGGCCGACAACGCTTGTACCTCTAACGAGTGGCCTCGGTTTTCCTAATGAGTTTAAAATCCGGTTTTTCAGGTCCCTCGTGTGATGTTGATCAAGTCTCGATTGTTGTATCATTCAAAAGATCACCAGTTGAAAAACGAGAGAAACCCGAGCTGGGTCTTGAAAACCGAAACGAACGAATTTCACGTGAATAGGGTGAGTTTTACAGGCTCTTTTTGTTGGGTTTTGAGCACTATAACACTTCCTAAGTGCACATGCAACCCTAAATGCTTTGGATCTATGTTTTCTCTAATTATACATGCATTTTTCTTTTTCCAAAGCATTCACCCTAGCTAGCATACAATTGAAGCTATATAATAAAACATAGTTTGGATGCTTACCT